ATTATGACGTTATTTCTTTAATACAAAAATAACTTTTCTTATTTTATGAGAATTTTGCAAGTATTAAAAAAAGGAAATTGGCATTAAATTAAAGATTAAATGAGCTTTTTAAATTGCGTGAAAATGCGTGCTTGCGGGGAAGGGGGCTAAAGCTTACGGATATAATCTTAAGTTAAATATATTGAAAATACAAAAGAGCACTATTTTTTTTACTATTTGCAATGAACTTTGATAAAAAAAAAAGATGAACCTATTAAAAGCAATGTAGGTACAAATCACCAAAAATACCACTACACAGACTCCTATGACTGCAAAAACTCAATAAAACCATGTCAGCCTTTCTTTCTGTCATTGTATCGAGAGAGAGAAAAAAAAATTCGCGATTTTCATATATACTCTCAGTATAACCACACGAATAAGGAAAATTCAATACATGTATTTTAAGTTATAGAATAAAAGAAAAGAAATATGTTGGATAGTTTCGTCATCTAATAGACCAATTAAAGCTTTTCCTTGCTTAACGGACCAAAAAAAGTAAATACATGTAGAGATTTTGCACAATGATTTATTTCTTGAATCTATGTGTTATTTATTTATTATCTTTTTTGAAGAGGGGGGGGATCAAACAAAAAAAATAAATAAAACAGTGTTACTCTGATTGCATAAAGTCCCTCGATACCCTTCAATACACGCCCCTGTGCAGGAACCATTTACATGATGGCAAAGAGAGTCCTGGCAAAACCCACAGGCAAAGCTGCAGTTTTGAACATATGTGTTTTCTGTGCATGCTAATTGTATGCGATAGAAAAAGAAAACAATATCAATTAAAACATAGATACCTGAAAATTGAAATTACTCATGATGTAAAGAAAAGCTCTTGAATTTTCTAATATATTCTTGTAATGAAGGATGTTAAAGAATCTTTATGGGGGAAGGAAAACAAATTGCAATTATATTAAACTGGACAAGATGGTTGATCCTCTAAATCTTTGTACCTTTTCCACATCGAGGTCCTTCCAAGCCTGGTTGACATCCACCTTCACATTCTCCAGTTGTTCTGTTACATTGATATGGTACGCCACAGTTTTTATTACAATTCTGCTCACAATAGACTCTATTCACGCACGCGCTAAAGTTCGTAGCGATAACGAGGCTGACCTGACAAAAAGCACATGTGCGAGCAGACGCTGAAAATGGACGGCCATGCGAAAACGGGCTCCGCGGCGTATTGTTGTGTGCCGCTTTGTAATGAAGACAGTCGTCGGGGTACAGCAACATCCTTCCACTCGTTTCCAAAGGATCCATCTGTACGGAAAGAGTGGATTATTAAGATACGACGAGACGAAGGCCCCGACTTCCATGTAAGTTTTTCACGTGCCTAACACAAAGTTTATCGATTTTGTGGATATAAAAAATCCCTCACTGAAACATCTTTAAAAAGATAGATATTTTTAATTTTGATTATATTTTCCTTTAATTCCATTGAGTTTTGACATACTGGACCCTTTTAATTTATCACAGTGAGGCGATAGATTCCACATAACCAGTGTTGTTTACGTCCATTTTGCTAACGGTGCGAGCGAGGTTTCGTATCGTCTCGCACTTCATTACATCTCTACACACTATTAAGTTAGATGATTACATTTCGATATAACAACTTTTAATAAATTTTCTAGTCATATAAAATGTTTTTGGGATGATAAATATTTATATAAACGTGGAAATCCAAGCCCAGTTCTAATCAACACGCAGCTTAATTATTTCCCAACAGAAAAACAACTCTCTTCATAAAATCTGCAGCCTGTATAGTAGGCCTATTGAATCATATACACTGTATTATGATACATGTTCAATATTTAAATGAATTGATCAGGCCTATAATTAATAGGTCATATGGGCATCAACAAAACAAAATAAAATGGCCGGACTAATAATCTCTGAAGCCTTCTGCGACGCAAAGGACAATAAAGAACAATTAATCCTGCAGACTTTCGATGCGGAAAAGGCATTTGATGTAGTGTGGCACGAAAATTTACTATGTAAACTCTATAAAGATGGCATTGAAGGCGACCTTTGGAACTTGGTGAAATCTCTACACACAGATGCACATACAATAGTGAAATGGAATGAAAATCTATCACAGGAAATAAAACTAGAACAAGGTATAAGGCAAGGAGCTAAATTATCTACCTTAATGTATAAAAGATTCAACAATGACCTCCTAAATGCACTACAGACTGTACCTGAGGGAGTAAAGATTGGAACTCTTGATATCACCGCACCAACATGCGCGGATGACATTGCCCTGTTAACAAAAAACCAAAGAGACGCGCAGATTCTGACAAACTTAGTTAATACTGCTTCAAATAAAGATAGATTTACTATAAATTCAGCAAAATGTGAAATCCTAACGTTTAAGACTCACCAGAAAAAATATCAGCAAGAAATTGAAGTGAAGTTGGGGAATGAAACTATCAATCATGTATCTTCCCTAAAACACCTAGGCATTGAAAGAAATTCAACAAATACTCCTGATGTCAGTCAGCGAATAGAAACTGCCCGGCGAACATTATACGCTCTACTTGGAAGTGGAATGCATGGAAAAAATGGTCTATCTCCTGTTATTACCCTAAATATGTGGACCACATTTGTTATACCTAGATTACTACATGGAATTGAGCTTTTAAACATAAGGAAAATTGACTTAGAGAAACTTGAAAAATATCAAAGAAAGGTACTAAAACAACTTCAAAGTCTCCCTGACAGGACTGCATCAATTGCAACTCTATCCCTTATTGGAGCCAAAACGATAGAGGCCCACATTGATGCTAGAATTATCACAACATTTTTGAATATTGCTAAAGATCCTGCAACAATAGAGCACCAAATGGCGGTACGACAGTTATTGACAAAATCTGATAACAGTGCCTGTTGGTTTATTAGAGCAAAAAGTACCCTGGAAAAATACGATCTTCCAGACCCATTATACCTGTTAAGAAATATAAAAAGCAATGAAGAGGCAAAACACTGGAAACAGAAAGTAAAGAAGCAAATATCTGACTACTGGCAAATCAAAAATGAAATTGGTATCTCAGAAAAAGTTTCCCTACAACATCTGAAATTACAGACCAACTCATGCAGACAACCCCATCCATTATGGCAGTCAAGTACGTTTTCACCGAAGGCATCAAATAAGGCCATTGTCAAAGCTCAACTCGCAACAAATACCTACCGGTTACAGGACAATATTAATAAATTTAACCAACACAAAGTGAAAAATGACTGCTTGTTATGTAGAGAGATCACAGAGGACAGATTACACTTTTTACTAAAATGTCCCACCTTAGATTCTATTAGAAAGCCATATCTGACGAAAATAGTTCACTACCTGCAAGAAAAAATTGGCACACATGAATCAAATTCATACTTATTGGAGGACACTAGATTGCTACAGATTATTATCGACCCCTCCTACTTCACATTCTCAGATATTCCGTCCAGAAACAACAAAATCCAGATATTTCTTGAGAACCTGAGCCGCAACATGGTATTTGCTCTACATTGTCACAGAGCTCAAATTATTAAAAAAATTAGTACACAGTCTACAACCAACAGACCTTAATATTTTCCTTTTTTTTTTTTTTTTTTTTTTTTTGTAAAGAAATATTTTTGGTAAAGAGGAATATAAAATTATTTTAAGAGTTGAAATAAATTTTTTTAAATAGAAACAGTCATGGAAAAGGTGTAAAATTCTTTTTAACTGTGGCTTTTTTAAGAACTTTTAGAGCCGAAACAATTTTACTTTAGGAGTTAAGCTACTGTACAGTATGTAAATTCTTGTTTTATTTTTAGTTGGTCTTTCACCCCTAACTCTATTTTACAGCACTACATAGAATAGATTTTACTAACTGTCTTTTCCTCACTTTAGCTCTTTTATTTTTGATTTTTATGCCTTTTATGAAACAACCTTTTTGGGTGCTCCTTATACATAGGAGGGAAATCCACAACTGAACTGAACTGAACTGAAATGCCAGTCATAAACTATTCTGACAATGGGTATTCCCTATTGAGAATATACACGCAACACTTGTAATCAGGATGTCCAGTTCCTTTCTGTTTAACTATGAACTACTTTTCATCAAATTTTGTCTAAGAAAAGTTCTTTTGTTTACAATATCCTGATTTATTTTATGCACCAACTTGAATTTTTTTTTCTCTCCAGCAACCCCTGCATAGCCCCTTCACAAGTGTGGTACTACTCTTTTGCAGGGCAAAATGCTATGTTTTGGTTAAATTTGATGTAAAAGTAATTTGTTTTTTTTTTTTTTGACATTTGATTATCTATCTGTATAAACAAAAATGCCATCAAACATTACACATAAATTTGCCCTGCAAAAGAGTAGAACCACAATTATGGTGAAGGGGCCAATTGACCTAATAAAGCGAAGGTAAGCAGTTAAAACCTTGTGCACCCGTTAATTAATTAATACCTTCCTAACATTATATACATGTTTTAAAAGTAGGCAGCAAAATAAATAGTGTACATACTTTTTATACATGTATAACTTTTGAATTGTAATTGAAACAATAACAATGCCAATTAGATGTTCTACAACTTGATTGATATTTTTCAGATATCAAAGTCCACATTTGTGTGTTCAAAGCATTTTAAGGAAGATGATATTGTAAAGACATTGACAGGTACAAGGCTACAAGCAGCTTCAACGTTTGAGTTCTTTTGCTGTTACTTTATTAAATTGTTGAATATTAATTTATATTATCAACTTAAAAGTTTAAATAATGCACATTAGTTAGCATTGATCATTTAGATTTATAATAAATTTATATCAATAAATGTTCAATTGTAACTATATAAGCTTTCTGAAAAATCAAGGTGACATTTCTATTTAAAGTTCAAAAATAAAGTTGTAATTTGGAGTCAAGAGCAACAAACATTTAATATTTTAATTTGGAAATAGATAATTAAATATCTTATAATGGTTAAAATTAACATGTCTACACACCTTGTAGGACTAAGAAAATTGAAGAAAGGCACAGTACCAAGTATATTTCCATGGACTAAGAGTGCACCAAGCCGTAAACCACCCAAGAAGAGGGAAGGACCTCCTCAGTAAGAGTTTATAAGTCATGATACAATTTGCAGTATTAATTTTGCTTCTGATAAACAAGGAATGCTGCATTTGTATTATTTAAGCACTGAGTTGTAAATTTTGATGTCCATCATGTCACAACATGGACAGCTGTGCTCACAAACTGAGTTACGTGATGCATAAGCATATACGTATCATGTGTTTGACTGTTTGTACAGCTGGTCATGTTAGGGCATGGTGGACATGAAAATGGACAGTTTGGTACTTATATTACAATTTAAATAATAAATACAGCTTGAATGATGCACACCATACCTGTGCAAGGCCATAGTAAATAAAAACCTAGATTCTCATCCTCGTCTCAAATAAAAAAAAAAAAATCTGTTTTCTTAGTCTTAATTCATATCGAGATCGGTAATCAACTAGTGTTCAACTTTCGTTCTCTATCCTCCATATGTCAGTGTGATTTTCATGGCCGTTAAGATCATTAAACAGGATCATCAGTAGTTGTGAAAGATTCCTGATGCAAGATGATGTGTAGTAAGAGATAAACATATTTAAATTGACCTCTATAACTATGTATGACTTTTAGATGTAAAACAAAGATATATATCTGATAACAGATATAACGCTTAAATCTGCACCATTTGATAAGGTCAAAAAATATCTCAAAAAAAATTTTAAAATTGGATGAGAATCGGGTTTTTTTTTATTTAATGACTCCTTATTACAGGTTATTGGCTGATTATTGTGCCATTGTAATGGCTCGTCTGAGCAGACAGAAAACTCAAGTGAGATTTTCTGATCAAATTCACAGGCCTTTCAATTGCTTAAAACAATTGTGTGTGTAAAAAAAATAAAGGTATTGAACTCGTACACTGGCTACCCTATTTCGCTAATAAAATATTTTTTTTATTCAAATGCTCTAAAATTCTACTTTCTATTTAAATCTATTCAAAGATAAACATTCTTCATTTCTACCAAAGCTCACTCAAAATTCCATATACGGTACTTCTCGAGATATTCTGAAATCAACTTTAAAAATGACCTACTTTCTTTTACTCGACATTAGCTTGGGCCCCTGGTCAATCACATGTAAACAGATGATGTTTAAAGTGCAGCAAAGAGTTGCAACATTTTTGAACAATTCAAAGTTGATTTCTTACTCCAGATTGTAAGGTTACTTCAGTAGTAATTCCTTTTGCAAAAAATTAATTGAAAACATTTGCATCAACAACTGCACTGCCATGTTGATCAAGAATGTAAATGAAGCCATGGTAGAACAAATATTTTCCAGAATGCATTGTATACCTCTCAATTTTCAAAACATTTAGACCGCTAAAATGTTTTTTGTGACTTAGTAATATCATGATCAAATTAGAGAAAACCTTGTAAAACTAATGCAAATGAACAAGTATTTTATTGAGTTTAGAATAAATTCCAGGAAACATTTGTCCCATTGTTCCCGCTTTACAATTAGTGTAGCCCTTCTAAGGCCCAAGCTGATGTTGATTAAAAAAATTGAGGTCAATTTTGGAATTGATTTCAGAATATCTCAAGAAGTATAAGGATCGAATTACGGGATGAGCTTTGGTAGTAATGAAGATTGTTTATATTTGAATTGATATGGAAAGAAAGTAAAATTGTAAAGCATTTGATTTAAAAGAATTTTATTGGCAAAAGAAGGTACCCTACTAAAAGAGTTTCATACCTTTATTTTTTTTCAACACCTTAATTTTTTTTTTCTAAGGGATCTAAATTTTGGCCTGTGATCAAATTTGTCTATTATCTGTCATTGATGTTTGTTGTCATTACAAATAATATTCACATTTTCTTTCATTGAGCTAGTTTCAACCAAACTTGGCACATGCATGTACAATCCTAGGGCGAGGGAAAACCCAAGTTTCTTACTTCCAAGGGGAGATAATTAAGAAATAGTCAATGGAAATTGTGGGATCCTTCAATAATCTTCTAAAAAAAAACAGGAGCCACAAAAAATGAAACTTGTGTGAAACCTTTTTGATATAAAGTACTATAGATTCAAGTTTTACTTAATGAGAATGCATAGAAATGTAAATTTAGGCAAAAAAAAATTAATTTCTTGGTTCTCAGGCCCTCCCTCATCTCTTCCAAGGGTGCCTCATTGACCCTTTTTATTGCTAAATCAATAAAATATAAACACCAAATCACCTCTCTCATCATTTTTTGAGGTTTTGTACAATGTAAAAAGTTGCCTCCTCATATTTTGGGGACAATAAAAAAGGAAAAAAAATGCCTCCCTCCCTCATCATATTTCTTGAAAAAAGGCCTGAGAACCAAGTAATTAACTTTGCATGGCCTTAAAGATATATATAAAATTTATATTTATAAACATGTATTTTGCATGTAAAATGTGTGGAAATTTTAGGCATTTAAAACACCATTACAGAAACATTTAATTTGTTTGCACACACCGTTGCAATTACGAGACTATATATCTATAAAAATAATGGTTCATTGCTTAAACATATCATCTCATATGTTAGTTCAAATCATCCCAAAGGGAAAGGGGCACAATAATATGGTCGAAGTCTTGGATTAAAATAAGTAAATTGTTTTTATTTAGACGCTTTTTCTCCAGATAAATCTATATTGGTACTAATGAAAATTATTATGGTATTATCTGGATGTGTAAATGTTAGTGAAAAGTATGTCATGAAAATTATTTCTACATGCAATATATGTGTCTGACCACAAACTTTTTCTTTTATCATTTTTGTATGTAGTGAAGCTTGCATGCAACCACTGACTTGTAAAAATTATTGCATTTTGTGATCAAATGAATCATAAAGGTTTAGGAATGTGCAAGATTTTTAAGTCCCAATGACATATAGCTGAGTTTTCAAAATTCTACTGTATCAAAATAAAACATTGCTATGTATAATATTTTACATGTATTATGATACATATTGATCTTTTCAGAGAAGAAACATCAATTATTAAGAAGCAGAAAACATCATCGTCAATTTCGTTAGACACAGACCAACATTCATCATCAACTGCAACATGTGCCATTGACACTTCAACAGATATGCCATCTGAAGAGCATGACTATTGTCGCCAAGCACCATCTCTTGAAGAAGATCTTGAGGTAATACACGGATAATGTAGTTTCTTTGATCTTGGGGGTATGTTGACTTTAGCTCACACCTGAGCTGAAAACTCAAGTGAGCTTTTCTGAACACCCATTGTCCGTAGTCCTTCTGTCCGTCTGTTAACTTTTCACATTTTCAACTTCTTCTCAAGAACCACTGGGCCAATTTTAACAAAACTTGGTACAAAGCATCCTTGGGCAAAGGAAAATTAAATTTTTAATATGAAGGGCCAAATCTCCTTCTGAGGAGAGAAAATCAAGAAAAGACAAAAATAGGGTGGGGTCATTTATAAATTTTCCCAAGAACCATTGGGCCCGAAAAACTGAAACTGATGTGGAAGCATCCTGGGGTAGTGTAGATTCTAAATTAATCAAATCATGACCCCCCAGGGTAGGGTGGGGCCACAATAGGGAATCCTAGTTTTACATTGAAATATGAAGGAATTTTTTTTTTTTAAATCTCAAGAACCATTAGGTCAGAAAAGCTAAAACTTATATGTGGAAGCATCCAACCGGAGCAGTGTAGATTCTAAATTAACCCCTGGGTATAGGATGGGGCAATAATAGGGTTTCCAAATTTTACACAATAGACATTACAAGGGGGAAATCTGTCAAAGAACAGAATGGACGAAATTACTCAGGTGAGTGATATGGCCCATGGGCCTCTTGTTTATGAAAACCACAATGGAAATCTGATCAGTTAACACTGTTTAAAAGCAAACCACCTATACAGATTTTTTAGCAGCATCTGTTCCATCAAAGAAACATCCAATGATGTGCATTCAATAATACAATTAATGTTTCATCATGTAAATAATACTGTATACAGTTGCTCATACAAATTTAAATAAAAGAAGAAAATGTCTCTGTGATATTGTGGTAATGTTGATATTAATTTGGAATAAATAAACCATGTGCATATATCACTGTGTAATACATGTACTATATTGCAGGCCATGAAGATACACATTTCTAAACTAGAAGAAAAGGTACAGCTCCTTGAGAAGAAAGTAGAGAAGTTCGGAATTGAAAGATTTTCCAAAGATCCAAATTTGATAAATTTTTACACTGGTTTTTCTACTTATGATATTTTTTGTGCTGTATATAATGTTGTTGAGCCAACAGCCTCAAATATGATCAGGTGGTCACAAGTTCAGAGAAATAAGAACATTGTTTGTAATCCTTTTAGAGAAGAGTCTTTGTCAATTGTAGATCAATTTTTTATGTTTTTATGTAGAATTAGACAAGGTTTTTTTGAAGAAGATTTAGCACAACGTTTTTGTGTGTCTCAAAGCACTGTTAGTCGTATTATTATTACTTGGAGTAATTACTTGTATTGTATTTTGGGATGTTTACCCATATGGCCAGATTTAGATATTGTTAAACAGAATATGCCAGAATGTTTTAAGACTACTTTTCCCAATACACGAGTTATTTTGGATTGTACAGAAATACGTGTGCAGACTCCAAGTGCCAAAGTACTTAACTCTCAGTCATATTCAAATTACAAGTCTCATACTACCTTTAAAGGCTTGATTGGTATAACCCCTCATGGTGCTGTATGTTTTGTTAGCAGATTATTTACTGGCAATATTTCTGATAAAGATGTAACACAAAGAAGTGGTATACTTGATCTGTTAGAACAAGGTGATGATGTGATGGTCGACAAAGGTTTTCTAATCCAAGATTTACTTGACAGTGTTGGTGCACACTTGATTATTCCACCTTTTTTAGGAAATAAAGTTAAATTTAGTAAGGATGAGGTAACTAAAACTCAGCAAATAGCAAGACTAAGAATTCATGTAGAAAGAGCTATCAGAAGGTGTAAAGAGTACCATATTTTTGATAATGTTCTGCCATTGTCTGTTGCTGGGACTGTAAACCAGATTTGGTCTGTGTGTTGTTTATTAAAAAATTTTAAAGAAAAGTTATTTTGACAGTTATATTTTCAATTGTTTGATACTGTTTATGTGTGTGGCATGTAAATGAACATCATCTGCATATTTGATATACCAGACATGTACAAGTGAGAAGGTACACATACCTGTATATATTCAAAACAGAAATATGGCTTTAGTGCACAACACTTTTTTTGCATGCTTTGGGAAATTTATTTTTCTTTGCATATTTTCATTGATATGTTTTCAAGTGATATAGATCTTTTTGGAAAAAAATTAATACATTGAATGAGATTTTATCAAGGTTTGGGTAACTTTGAAAATCTAATACAGATATTTTAAAATTTGATTTAAGTACAAGAATTTAATTATACTGTATATGCAATGCTATCATAATTACTTTTGGTAATCAACGCAATAGCAATTTTATTAAGATTTACGTAGCATTAATTTTTTTTTTTGTATGAACATAAAGGACAACTTTTTTGAAAAGGACAAGGCTTTGAACAAATTTGGATTTGAACAAACTTTAATCTACACTATATAAGGAAGCTTTTGCCTTTTATGGCTATTAAACTGGTTTTCTTTTAGTAGAAAAAAATAATGATGCCAAATTTTCATTCTTTCCCAATCATCTCCCCATTACATACATGTATAGAAGGAATGGGGTACTTCATTTAAAATAAACAGATGACAGACTCTCTTTAATCAGAAAAAAGCTTATTTGAACTTTTGGATTAACAAAACAAAGAAACCAAACAAACAAAAATAACAGCATGCACGTACTCACATGTACATATTTTTCTTTTTATGATCCATCATAGATGTTATTTTCAGTATCGAACACATTTTGGTAAAAAGCAATTGAAGTAAAATATGTCAAGTTTTTGTTTGATTTCCTGCCACTTTCCTGGTACAAAGTTAATTCTTTCCAGATGGTAGTCATCTTTACACCAAATGAACAAATCGCACCACAAAGCACCGGTCAGACCCATTTGACCCATTATCTGATAATAATATTCATGGGAGGATTTTAGTTTGTAGCTGTTATTCACAAGAGTTAGATATTTTAAATTTGTGATGGAATCTGCATTTGGACATTTAATTTCTAAGAGTCCATACATAGGAACAGAGTTGGGGTCTATGACTTTCCTGTCAGGAGAAGTTCCCAAATAAAAACATGAGGGATTAATGACTAAGCCTGCTTTAAACACATTATTTCCTGTTATAGTCGCGTATGCTTCTGCTGCCTCCTGTTCGTGTTCAAGTCCAAATTTCATTGCTGCTGTTTGAATTTTGTTACTTTTTAATAATGCGTCAGCCAAAGTTTCAAAATCTTTTTTCCGTGAACAAACTCTTTTAAATTTAGATGAAGTAATTCTGTGTTTTCTTGCTGAATTCCAGTAAGGATTTTTAGACTGTTCAATGGTATTTTGTTCAATGTCGTCAGAATCAGTTTTTGACACGGCAAGTCCATCATAAAAATTTTGTTCCCCACGATTTAGAGCTGTATTAAAAGTTTGATCAAGATTTGGTAAATTATATCCAGGAAAAGTAGGAAACGCAGGATTGTTTATAATTGTATCGTTACTTTGGTCAATTTTCTTTTGCTGGTAAGAAAGAAGGGAACCCTTAGGCACTGGTCCAACTTTTGATTCAATGGTCTCAATGGAATTAATTTTGGAGGAAGGTGGCAGTATGGTTTTAAATTGAGCATTTGTTGCCATTATATTTTGATTCAATGATTCCAAAATGTTCTGATATGGTATAGGTTGCTGTATTGGACAATAAAATTTTGATTTCACACCATCTGTTCTTTTTATTTTTTTACAGGTAGTTTTCTGAATATGTACATCCTCAACTGCTTCAGGACGGATACCCTCTAACCGTTGGGGTATATGCCATGTTTGAGGCATTGATGTCTTAGATTTGACACATGGCACTGTCTTTAAATCAAGCTTTTGATAGTGGGCTAATGTGTACATAAGGCCTAAAATATGGCTACAATGTCCAGAGCCTGCTTTACATGTGCAGTTAGAACTTTCTACATCAGTACAAGCTGCAGCTTTTAGGGCAATTTGTAAATTATGTGGGGGATCATTTTTCCTCATAGAAGGAAAGCACTTGGCTCTAATACAAGCACCAGTGCCCCCTGATGTACATGGTCTCACTGAAACAATAGAAGAAGCTTACTTAGCTTCCTTGTAAATGAAAATTGAGAAGGAAACGGAAATAAAAACAACCAAGGACAAAATGAAACTGTTTTCAAGAAATGACAAGAAATTTGGACAAATGATATGAAATAAAAATGAATAAAAGATTGAAAACCAGGTTGGGATTTATTTGCTACATAGGTAGGAAATCAAAAGATTCAGATGATCTTTTTTTAAAAAATTTATACATGTATTGTATGTAAATTTGAGGTATATAAAGATTTGAAATTGAAATTGCCAGATTTCTTGGTATATAACGTTATACCTCTACAGGACTTTGACATTTGTGAATATGGTAGTGTGGAACATGTTACATGTACATATGGACTAGGTTTTTAAAGAGGAAAAAAATATAACCCTGATGCAGTGCATCAATTCTAAATTAATTGTTGTCTCTGGCCTCTTCAACATACATTTTCCAAAGGATTGCTTCTTTAAATCTGCATGTATATTCACTTTATAATATATCCCAGTATGCACAATGAAAATATTGAAATCTATTGATCTAAATCATAATCAAAGCTTGTCTTTCATTCTTTGAAAGTATGTAGCACATATATATATACATGTGTGCATTATTCAATCTGATTGATAGTACATGTACACCTGTACATGTGCAGGCATTGAAAATGCAATCGCAACTATATAATTTATACACAATAATATTTATTACATGTAATTTAAATGAAGCATTCCAACCAATACTAAAACCAAGACATCACCTCGCAACAAGGTTGATTAATAAAAAGTTAAGATTTCTAAAACTTGAAATGTGTTTGTATATGTGTACATGTATTTGAATTTAGTTTATAGTAAGCATGTACATGTAGTAACCATCAAATTAAAGTGCTGTATTAGTATATATGCATATCAAATGTTAATACAGTGCTTTGTTTACATTTAAAATTCCATGTTCTATTAATGGTATGCCTTGCAATTTTCAAAAGGGAAAAATCTATCAAAATAAAGGAATATCAAGACATATAAATAATAATTAAAAACCACAAAAAAAAAAAAAGAAAGAAAAAAAAAGAAAACAAAGACATATATCAAATGAAAATAGTTAAAATTTATTTATCTATATTAACAAAAGAAAGAAGTAACGTGTTTATAAATGACACAAGGTAAATAATCACAGCATCGATAACGTCTACGTTAAATGGACTTCATTCTTTGCTAACTATGTAAGCCACGCCCACTTTAGTGCACGTACATTTCACATAACGTGGACATAAATTTCTTAATTTATATTATTTTTTTCTTTAAAAATGATAACTAAATGTATGTATTCTCTACTTGTGGTGAATATTTATTGTCTTCCATTCAATGAATTTCAGCAATAATGACAGATATCAACGTAAAGGATTCTATGAATGCTGTCCGATGGTCCATCGTAAAATTGTAAACAAACCTTCAATATCATGAACATATCCTTCAGCAAAATTGCTGTATCCTCTTTTGAGAGATTTATTCGGAATTTTTGACGTGGTAGACCATGCCGATATTACATCGTCGGTTATCCTTGGTACGCTTGCGAGAGAGCGCGTCCAAGCTGAATGACCTTCGCCGCACTTCGCCATTTTCTCGTAGTGAAGGACGCTAGTTTGTCAGGTCAGCCTCGGTTTCGTATTTTAATGGCGGATGCGTGAATAGAGTCTATTATTCCCAAATGTACCAACAAAGCAACCTATCAATATATTTTGTGACTGTATTCATGCTAAACATAATTTTTTGCAGAGATTGCTATTTACTTTCATCGTACAGCAAGCCTGCTAAAGGTATTGAAATGTTGAAATACAGATAAGATAATGTCTGTGAATAATCACAAAAGATATTACTAGTTTTACAGAGCTCTCCCATCAATCCAGCGTCACATCCTTCAGTACAAAAACCATTGATGTGATTACATTGTTTACATCCCAGACAGGCTCCACATTTCACCCCACAGTCTTGTCCATAACTTTTACCATCACATTCTTTGAAATAAACACAATATGTTCGATATCTGTATAAGTTAAGGATACTCAGTTGATTTTACAAATTCTGCTTCTTTTACACATACATGTTAATTAAACCTAAATCGTTATATACATGTATATTTACGCCGGCTGAAACACGGTTACCTTCACTACAATGAAAGCCCTTCCAGCCCGGTTTACATCCTCTTTTGCATTTTCCTGTTATTCCGTTGCATATATTATATACTCCACAATGTTAACTACAGAATCTTTCACAGTTTGTTCCGAATCGTCCGGGTGGACATTTTAAAATGTGCATGCATATCATTATAAATGAATTTACGTAATTATATTACATTTCTTTTTCTTTCCATTGTTAACTTAATCAAGGTCAATATAAAAAATAATTTTGCTTTTTCTTGGAATGAGTGGTTGATATATTAATTAATTCACCTAGAGCACAAAAGTATCCCTCATATCCAGCGTCACAGCCTTCCAGACAAGATCGATTGATGTGATGACATTGTTTATATCCCAGACACGCTCCACAACTAAGTCCACAGTCTTGACCATATGTGCCACCATGACAAGCTATCAATCTGAATAAATATATATTTCGTTAATGTCATTTATTACATGCATTTCTTTTCAAAATGAGTAGATAGAAATATGTTTTGCAATATTTTTTTTAATAAATCTACAATTATATCTCAATCGTGATTTTGTTAATTTTATTCCTAAAGATAAAATAGCAATTACCGGGTATTTAAAAAAAATAATATCATTAAGTGTAAAGAGTTAAAAAAAAACAATTGATAATATGATTTTATTCCACATGGAAATAAAAAACAACAAACAACAAAACAAGAAACAAAAAAGAATTACATACATATGCAATTATTACTTTAAAGCCAATCAAATTAAAGAAAATAATTGATATTTTGTTTACCATTTTCACATCGATCGCCCTGATACCCTGGTTTACACGATAAGCATATCCCAGTC